AGAATAAGAAATGCTTTGATTAAAATTTTGTTGAATCCATGACATTTTTTTAAAAATGTAGTTGAAAACTGAAATACTGTAAAAAAGAAAGAAAGAAATATTACAGAAAACACATGTAAACCAAAATGAAAATATATAAATAAAGTATATATAAATAAAGTGTGTGTGTGTGTGTGTGTGTGTGTGTGTGTGTGTGTGTGTGTGTGTGTGTGTGTGTGTGTGTGTGTGTGTGTGTGTGTGTGTGTGTGTGTGTGTGTGTGGCAAAAACAACATAGACCTACCTTACCATAGACCTACCTATCTTTTTTTAGTAAGGTTTGCAGACTGATTGCTAATTAAAGATTTTATACTGATCTTGGTAGTTTCTAATGGTTAGGAATAGATGGTTTCTGTTTGGTTACCATAGCTAAAACTATGGGGTTTTGGCTGCTTAAATGACATCCGTGTTAACTGTTTTGAAAAGTGTTGGGGAAAATGTATCAATCCAATGAGAAAGAGTTTACTGTACATTTTTGCAAGACATGTTTTCTGCTTTGCTGGGATAGTGATGAGAAAAATGGAGTGGATCCTAGTTTCTTTAACCAGGTCAAAGCAATCAAGAAAAACTGTAATTCGTTATGAATTAACTTATTATTCATTAATAATTAATTCACCAAAGCCTACTACGATGATGCCATTGTCCATCGCGATGTTTAACATTAGACATCATACGATGCCAAACCCTAGACTGATTGTTAAATTATTCACTGTTTCAATCGTTCATCATAAAATCACCTGTTTCATTCATAATTAGTTGACTCACTCGTACAGACAGCCACTGTTTATGAATAAATCCAGTGTTGATGAATGAATATTGGGATAATGATTTGATGATTCACTTATGAATAAAGTGAATGAAACACTGTTGAATGGATTGATTGAGTCAGTAATTTTATAAAAGTCTCAAAACCAGTCACTTAATTCAATTTTGAGTGAATTACTTTTGATGAATGATTAAAAATCAAAGTAAATGATCTACAGAAAGAGTCACAGAAAAATTGTAAAATCGTTTTCTGAAAACACCCTTCAGCCAATCTAACTGAAAGCATCCACCACATATGAGTCTCAATCCCTATGTAAAAGCTTCTGCAAGTAAAATGCCATCAATGCCATTGACTGAAACAATGGCTATCATTCATCTTGTCCACCCCCATCCACACCGACAGCGGTGCTTGTTGGCGCGTCTGAGTCAGAAAGCAGCAAGGCGGAAAGGGAATATTGATGGGGGGCGGCTGGGCAGTGCTCGCACCTTGATGCAGATATTAAACAGATCTGTAGGCTGAGTACGGGAAGGCTCCCTGCCGCGAGTGACTCATTTGGTCGGTCGTGGTAGACTAACTGTGAATCTCGAAGAGGAGATCAGCTGTTCAGAGATTTCAAAAGGGCCGTCTGTCCACAAGTGCAGCTTGTGATCTGTTCCTCACTACCCTTCTGCTTCTCTCCACGCTCCGTTCCTCCTTCTCTCAAGCCTCTTCCCCTTGTGTGTCTTCCTACTTCACTTCCTCCTTTGCTCTTGTCCTTCAGGAAGCACTTTCATGCTAGTCTATATCCTTAAAGAATCACTCTCCACCCTGTTTTTATCAACCAGGGTCCATTTTTAATATGTGATTTCGGTTACATGTGTGCGTCTCTATGACCACCGGTGTAGGGAACTCATCAAGGGTTAATGAGCAGCCACAGACTGAACTGTGAAAGCGGAGATGGCTTACTGTATCTCTGTTTGCAGGAGTTATTTAATTTTACTTTGTGATTAACAACAGGCACGTGCAGAAGGGGGGCTTGGATGCTTGAGTTCCTGCCCTTTTTTTCTCTCAAAGAGAAAGCTTCCCTTAAAATAAAAATGCGTCCTCCTTTGCGGACAGATCCCCTATCTGCAACACCCCCAGACACTCTTCAGCTTCACAATCAACCAATGCCCCAATCTTCAACCAGATTGGTGAACAAGTATTAGTTTTGCCTTCAATTTATTTTTCAAAATGAACTTTCTGTGGTAAAGTAGTTGCCCTGTGTGCCATTCTATATGTTGCTGAGGAGTAGATGATGTTTGCAGCACAGAATGATGACACATGTCGCTCAGAGATTATGTAAAAGTCACATGAAATCCGACATGATGGTTCACATTACGGTTGCATTGCAAAACATCAGATCTGTGTCTGATTTAATACTACATATGAAAGTGGCACAAATCTGAACTGAAAAGATCAGATTCCATCATACCTGCCAACACTCCCGTTTTTCCCATAAGTCTCCCGTATTTCAGTATTTTTTTTATATTTCGGGCCACATTTGGCTGCAGTGTGAACGTAGCCTATGATTAACCTTATTTAGTGACATTTTGTCTTTAATTTGAAGATTTATTTTTGACTGTCTCCTCCTCCTCAAGAATACATGTATCATTAAATATTTAAGCCCTAACTTTGTAACATTAGGATGCTGACAACAGAGTTGAGGATCCACATGCAGTTCTTTATTAATAAGAGTAGTCAGACAGGCAATGGTCCAAACAGGAGCAAAACAGAAGCATTAAGTTAATGCAAGATTGTATTTTCAAAAAAAAAGCAAAAGGTCAGTCTAAGCGGCAAGAAAGTAAGAAGAAAACAAGGCAAGGATCTAAACACGGAAAGACTAGACAGGTTAAATGCTTCATAATGCTGCAGGATAACCAAACAACAAGACAAAAAAAGAGCAGTATATATAGTCTGTGTAGTCAGTCCTTGAGCAGCTTCCAGCTGTGTGTATGTTTAATCAACGAAGAACCGGAACAGGTGTGTGTGAGTTGCATGACAGAATTTGTAGTTTTTTTTAATGGCAGGTTTGTAGTTCTCCAGTGAGTTATATGGATATGGTCGCTGGTGATTGTGGCAATTGTCATTTGTTTTGTGTGTTTGCTCTACTAGTTTAAATAAACATTTCCATGACACACCAATTTTGTGTATAATTTGTAATTTCCGATATAAAAATGTCCCTACTCCTGGTCAACTCTGTTATATTGGTTATAAATATGCATAACAACCTTTAAAGCAATGATAAAATAAGCACAACTTGCTCCAAGTGATGTCACTTTCTCTGGCGGGAAACTCTGAAAATTATTTAAAGCATTTCGTTATTCTTCTCTCATTCGTTGGTACAAAATAGGATTCATCAATAGTTGATTACTTTTCTGTTATTGTGAAATTTCAGTGAATCTTTCATTAACTTTTTAAAAAATATAATGAAAATACATAAGTATGTGCTATATCTTGGTCTAAAGCACAAAATAGTTGAATAGTGGTTTTCAACACAGTTAGTGGTTTAAATACTTTAACAATAAGTCAAACAGTAACTAACAGTAATAAAATTAAATGTTATCTATATCACACTTAAGCATTTTTCTGTAATTAATATTTAAAATATATTATTCCAGTTTGAAATGAAATGCTTGAAATGTACCTGTTATACTGGAAAAAGTCACAAATGCCCATAAAGATTTGGTTTCTGGTTAAAATAGACACTAGGAGGTTGTACAATAACAACAACTGTCTTTCCCCCACGAATTATGATAAGAGGAACACATTACAGACAAATAAGCTATATTTTGTGCAGCTTTTTGCACAATACTGCAAAAAAGTATTGTGCAAAAAGACTTCAAAAGGCATAAAAGATGACCACGATTTGAAAACAAGATATGAAACAAGATATTTTTCATGACATGTTCATCTACAAATGGACACATTTTTTGATGTATTCAGAAGCTCGAATGGTGCTTTGTTGTACTTGTGATGCTGAGCACTCAGGAAAGAGTACTGTGGAATACAATTTGTCAAAAGAGCTCAAAGTCTACACAGTGTGGTTATTATGTCTACATTTGACAAGTGTAGATTATGGTTTAATGTAGGTGATATGTATAGAACAAACAAACACAGGCTCAATGGAAAAACATGATTTAGCCTAGGTTTGTGAAATATGCACTTAAAACATAGGCTTGACTGCAGAGTCTAGGTAAATGAATGCTACTGGGCAGTATGATGCCAACAATTTCTGTTCCTTTTCACACTAAGGATATTTACAGGGTCATATTATCAATGAATAAAGGATACTTTTGTTTAGTTCCTTGCACAACACCAAATAAATTCCACAAAATAGTTTAATAGTGTCTATGATTTTTAACCATATATATTTAAATCACCTATTCAGACTCATGAGGAGACAACTATTTTACGTTTTGTCAGTTCAGTGGCTAAATTAGACAATTTAAGGATGATTCATACATTTTTTAAAGGAGGTGCGGCACCCAAACCCCACCCCTAAACCTAACCATCATTGGGGGATAAGCAAATCGTACTAAATTGTACGAATGAGATCACACAAATTCATACAGATTAGCCACCAAATCAAAAAGTTACTAATTGCCATGATAGCATTGATCTATTTCTATATGGATAACTCTTCTGTGGTCAGTTTGCTCAGTAGCTCACCTTGTATGGTGTTGTACTTGTGTAGAGCACTCAAATTTGAGTTCGGCACAGTTACACAAAAGTGATTAAAGCAATGTGAAAGCAAGATGTATTTATGTATGTATGCAGTTGCATTGTACTTTTTTGTATGATTGTATAAATCAGAGTATGTTTTCTTGTACATTCCTCATTGGCACTTGCAATAAGTACGTGTAACTGAAACGTACAACAAAACGTACAATAAGTTTCAGATTATCTGAAATATGTAACCAGACATACCCAGAACAATGTATTTGGCAAAAATGTAGGCTGAGGCACATATTTCCAATGGGTCTGGGCTGAAAATCACCCTTTTGTTGATGTCTCATAAGAAAATGAGCAACGAAAAGTATCAGGAGGAACCTTTTTCAGGTTTTTCAGAAGCACAGCCAGAATCACATATTAAGAATAAGATTGTGTTTTTTTTTTTGACACTTACCTGATCCCCTATTGATAATGCTGATCCGCTCTCTTTCTCTCGTTCTGTAGGTGGAAGGATGGCGCTCTCGCTTGTTCTGCTGTTTCTCCTTGGGTCTTTCTCACTCGCAATGGCCTCACGTAATATAACTGCAGGTAATGCTGAAGCCTGTGTCTGAGAGCTTTTTTAAATATAGGTTTATCCAACTTTAAACTTCCAAATTTGGCTTTTTAAATGTGTATTTCATTTTTTTCTCATCTGGCATTGCTTAGACATTTTGTTTTAAGAGGTTTGTCAGGTTTTGCCCATAAACTGTTTGTGTTAGTCTGATTTCTTGCACATCTTATCAGCTTCGGATGCCCATTTCAGTCATAGATAAAAACTAATTCAAATAATACATTGATTAATTGATTGAGTGATAAAATCTGTGGCAATCAACTTTTTTGTAAAACCTTTAACACAGTTTTTTTTTTTTCAACTTTGATTTTTATTGATTTTAATTAAATTACAAAACCCAGCAAACAATCCGGGGTCGCCACAGCGGAATGAACCACCAACTTGTCCAGAAAGTTTTTACGCAGCAGATGCCCTTCCAGCCGCAACCCATCTCTGGGAAATGAAAGAAGACCACTCTGTTTTAAAAGTACCAAAGAGCAAGATTATCAGACATTTCCTTTATCCATTGTGCAAGAACAGGTGCCTTTGGGTATTTTTCCAAACCAAAGCTATAACACATTTAGTTTATTTACTGACATATTTTCAGCATATATATGTCATAAACAAAGTTTTGGTTCCAAAGGAACATTTTCTCCAGCCATTTCAGACCACACTAAGCACTTCTTTCCAAAATAACTGCAGCTGTCCACACTCCCACATACAATGAAACAGAGTTCCAATGTCATCATTACATTTTGTGCAATATTCTGGAATTATAGGGTTAATTCGATGTAATTTGACAGGTGTAATATAAGTCCTCATCATCAACCTTTAACAATGTTAACTACATTAAACATATTATTTAAAACCGACATCTCATGTGTTTCGTTGTGAAAACAAATTCAAAATGCCTCTCATTTACTGATATCACAGTATATACACAGATATCACACAGTTATTAATATTTTTTTATATTAGTGGTTTTTTTATGTATTATTTTTTTATAGTTTTTTACTGGTAGTTCCATCTATATTAGTTTCAATAATATTTATTTTTTAATTATTTATTTTGTAATTGGAATTTGTATTTATTATTACCATATTTATTACAGATTTATTGCAAGTAATAGTTTTAGTTACAACATTAAGTACTTAAGCCTGACTGTGTGTGTTTGTGTTTAAGTGTGGATCTTCTGTTTATTTGTGTTTATTAGGCTGTTGATATGCTGAATGTGTAAAAAGGTCTTATTCACTGGTCACATCAGTCAGAATCTAGAATTGAATTTTTCCTCACGTCTTCTCCATCCAGCTCTAATTGCATCCTTCCTATCTCAGATATTACAAGCTTAGCTAGTCTGCTCTGCCCAAGCTGAACGACTAATGAAACACAATATCAACACTATTAGATGTCTGACAGCTATAATAAGTACATAAATCCTCACGTATATAATCTCCCTATGCATAATTGTCCTGTTCTATGGCCTGTTGAACAGGAATAAATGGCTGTGGAATATCCCTTGTTATAGAATATCTTCTGATCTGTCATTATAAGTCACGCCTGGACACACAGCGATTGTTTTTAAACAGTGATAACTGAAGAAAGCTACAGCCATTGGCATCGTTTCGTGAATTATGGTAGTAAATAAGAAACATTGAAGTCAAGAGATTCACTATTTTGGAACATTTGAATAGACTGTCACCGAGTTAAAATTGTGGATAAAATTGTACAATGTATTCTCAATATTATAGTTACTTTAACCATGTTTCTAGGCAATTTACATTAAATTATGGTGCTGGGTAATAACTGATTACATATAATCTGGACTAAATAATCAGATTACAAAAAATAACTGATTATTAGAGTAGTTTACATTTTAAATTAAAATATTTCTTATCAGATTACAGTTACTCTTTTACACAATTATAGTGAATCTCATTTTTTGTTTACTCTTCCATGTCTGATTACTTAGACTATATTTTCATTATAAAATGACATGTTAACATCATGTAAATGAATTTGGGGGGAAACTAAATTAGAGCAAGTTTGAAACAATTAATTATCCAAGTTACTAAATAAATACAGCAACTTCATGATATCCAGTTTATTTACATACAGTAACTGTTGTTTCTGTAAGTCTGGACTAAATAATAATTTACTCCTAGAGACTTTGGGCAAGTAGTCCCACAGCTATGTAAATGTTTATTATGTTTATGTTTATTAAAGAGATAGTTCACTTAAAAATGAAATTCTGTCATTATTTACTCCCCCTTTCACTTGATTCAAACCTATTTGAGTGTCCTCTTTCTGTTGGACACACTAAAAGATATTATAAAGAGAGATGGAAACCTGTAACAATGGAGTTGCATAGTATTTGTTTTTCCTACTATGGAAGTCAATGGTTACAGGTTTTCAGATTTCTTCAAAATATCTTTTTTGTGTGTTCAAAAGAAATTAGAAGGATAAAGTATTGTAGCCACTCGATGGTGAGTAAATTGTGAGCAAATTATTATTATTTTTTTTGAGTGACTGGTCTCTTTAATGTTAGTATGCAGGGTGTAGGAGTCCTTTGTTGACTTTATTTAAAGAGTTATGTTGTTATCATGATTTCAAGAATTCACACTTAGCTGATGATTGATTATAAAGCTTGTTTGGCATGCTCATGAGATCCTCGAACCCAGGGCTCCCTCCCATTTGCAAGGTGAGAGGGGAGTTTGAGCTCAGGTAGATTTCGAGAACTCCCCTGCTGTGGTAGCTAATGAAAAGATAGTGATTGCTCTTAAGAGATAACTATTTACTAGGAGCATGTCTATGATGTCAATTTGGATGAGTCAATTAACTTAAATTTCATGTTTTTGGATGGTGGAAAGAAACCCAGGGGAAACCCAAGTGAGCACGAGGAGAAAGTGTAAACTCCACACAGAAACGTTGACTGGCTTGGTACTGTAAGGACTAAAACCAGTGACGTTCTTGCTGTGAGGCAACAGTTGAAACCATCTAGGAAAGGAGGAGGAGTAGGGTGGAAGGCGGGATTCTTCAAAATGAAGATGGCTGTGATATGGAACTTAGGTATTTATAGTGGCTCAGGAATCGTCTGATTGGTGAATCATAAATTGAATAATGCAGGACCAGCCACAAGCAATCATAATCATGTGATCTTCTCGAAATTAGTTTATAAATAAACTTCACTTCTTGAATGATGTGTGAATTTTGATAAAGGATAGTCACAGCACATGGTTTTTTAATGATGCTGTCAGCAAAACCCATTTGCAAAATAAAATATTTACTGAAATATTTCTGAGGAAGGTAACAATATTTTAATTTATTCAACAACACATTGGCATAATCACAGTTCTCTGACATTGGTTAATAGTCACATGAGTGTACAAGTGAAAAACAGAGGCGCAGTAGGTAGCACGATCGCCTCACAGCAAAAAGGCCCTGGCTGGGTCAGTTGGCATTTCTGTATGGAGTTTGCATGTTTTCCCCTGGTTTGTGTGGCTTTCCTCTGGTCGCTCCGGTTTCCCCCACAGTCCAAAGACATGCGCTATAGGTGAATTAAATAAGCAGAGGCTGTAGTGTGTGTGTGTGTGTGTGTGTGTGTGTGGGTGTTTCCCGGTGTTGGGTTGCGGCTGGAAGGGCATCCACTAAGTAAAACATATATTGGATAAGTTGGCGGTTCATTCCACAGTGGTGACCCCTGATTAATAAAGGGACTAAGCTAAAAAAAAAGAATAAATATTTTGTTGCTTTTTGCTTTATCATACAAAAATGTTATGTTTAATGGACAGTTTAAAGAAGGTTAGGTAAAAAAAGTAATCTAAAAGTACTCCAAAAGTAGTTACAAAAGTAATACTTTAATTATTATTATCTAGATTAAATTACTAACAACAACTTTCACAATTTACAATTTTGTAAGTAGTTTACCCACCATAGGCAACCATCTTTTATGAATTAGTTTAGCAGTGTTGGAGTTTGCATGTACTGTCCACCCCAGACCACCCTTTATATGCAGACAGTTTATGGGTACAGTTAACTTAAAAAAACAAACAGAAAAACATTGGTAAAAATAGTAATGGTAAAAATATCACTAAATATGTAAAGCTAACCAAGTGCCATTCATTGTCAGTCGTCAACCATTTTGACCCATACAAGACAGGACTGATCCTTCATTAAAAGACTGTCAATATAGTATTAATCAGCAGTGTATGTGGTTTCTTAAAAACAGTTGCACGAAATGCCAAAATGCATGTTGTGCAGTGTAGGCTTGGCATTTCAAATGACTCTAGAGTCTCTTCAAAGCTGCGAACAGCAAGCCAATGGCAGCATTTGATTTTGATAATGCTGCTCATGCTTTTGTCCCTAAAAATACCCCCACACACAAAATGAGCCTAATACACACATCCGAGTGTGAACACGGCAGTCACGCTGGTCTGTCTTGCCCCTGGGCACTGGGTTTGGCGATGACTGTAATTAGCTGCTGACACTGTAGGTGAACCGGGCTGTAATAACAGGCTACAGCTACGCCGCTCTTTCATTCTGACAGCAAATCCCTGCCAGAGCCGTGAGCCCAGGGGACACGCAGACATTTACGCAGATTAGAGGCATGAATGACTCAAATATAATGGGAAATTTAGTGCCGGCCAGTTTACTAGTAGTATATGGGCTACATTGATGTCTCTGATTAAAATGGACTCTGCTTTTGAAGCTCATTTAAAGAATCTAACAAGCTGGAAAATGTTCATATATTTACATAGCCATCATGGTGGCAGCGAATAGTGAGTTTGGGTGGTGGAAAAAAAACTCAGGTCATTACTGAAGCTTCCATCATGGCTGTCGCTGTTGCTTTTACTCACTTAATTCTGGCATCAGAATGGAAAGAGCGCCATCTAATGGACAGAATGAGTGTTGCGCTTGTGGAAAATGGTATATCTATCTATCTATCTATCTATCTATCTATCTATCTATCTATCTATCTATCTATCTATCTATCTATCTATCTATCTATCTATCTATCTATCTATCTATCTATCTATCTATCTATCTATCTATCCCGTCTGTCTGTCCGTCTGTCTGTCCGTATGCACATCCGTCCATCTACCCGTCTGTCTGAATATCTGTCTTTCTGTCTATATATCTTTCTGTCAGTCTGTCCATCTATCAGTCTGTCTATCTCTTTGTCTGTCTATCTGTCTGTCTATCTGTCTGTCTGTCTGTCTATCTTTAATAATCTGTGTTTTTTACAACAGGTTGTGCTATTATTCGACCACCTAGAGATGGAGGGATCAGATACAGGGGTCTGACCCAGGAACAGGTAAACACTTTTAATTTGATATTTATATGCTCAATATAATATAATATAATATAATATGATATAATATAATATAATATAATATAATATGATATAATATAATATAATATAATATAATATAATATAATATAATATAATTTAATAAAATATAATTTAATTTAATATAATATAATAAAATATAATATAATATAATATAATATAATATAATATAATATAATATAATATAATATAATATAATACAATATAATACAATATAATTTGTAATTGAAACATTTATATTATAGTTTAGTGTATCATCATTGATTAAAAAAGTACATTACTTAAAAAAAAGATATTTTGGAAAATGTTCATTATATCATTTTATATTTGTGAATTTTTTTTTTTTTGTGTGTGTGTGTGTGTGTATTTTTTGATGAATAGAGAGTTTAATAGAACAGCATGTATTTATTTATACATTACAAATGTCTTCACTAGCATGTTTGATCAATTTAAAGTGTGCTTGCTGAATAAAAGTGTTTATGAAAGTACTCACACTGACACAGTACCGGATATTCAAACATCAGTGTAGGTGTTTGAGATGTGTTGTCACACCCTTTCTCTTTCTCTCTTCTCTATCTCTCTTTCAAATAAAATAAAATATATTGCTTTAATGGAATGATTGAAGCTTTAAATATGTGAAGAAATATTTTATCAATGAAAAAAATCAGAAACGAACACCATAACAGTTTAAACCTAAATAAACAGTGTAACAAATATGTGAGTGCTTCATACCACAGTGTTTAACATCTCTCTCTCTCTCTCTCTCTCTCTCTCTCTCTCTCTCTCTCTCTCTCTCTCTCTCTCTCTCTCTCTCTCTCTCTCTCTCTCTCTCTCTCTCTCTTCCTGTCTTTGTCTGGGTGCAGATCCGCAGTGTCCAGGTGTTGCCGGTGGATTATGAAATCGAGTATATCTGCAGAGGAAGCAGAGTAATTGTTGGACCAAAGGTCAGAAAGTGTCTCCCTGATGGCACCTGGACCGACCTGAACCAGCGCAGCAAATGCTGTATGTTCAGCTCTTCTTTTAGTTTTTTGCAAAGGTTTAAACTTGATCTCAACTAAAAGTAAATAAACAGCAGCCATAAACACATTTTATATTGTTATTTTTAACTCTTGACATTAACTTTTCTTTCCAAAGCTACATATTTGTATCAAAATAGTCCATATTGATATCTAACAGGTACATATTAGTACCAACAGTGTATAATAGTATCAAAAAAAAAAAAAAAGTTTTTTTAAAAGGTATGGCCCGAATGACAGTTCTTGTATCTTTTTTTTTTTTCTGAGAGTGTAATAACTTTAAACATGCAGTAACCTGTTTAATGTAGTCAGTTTTAGCTATCTTCACAAAATTAATATAATATTGTTAATGATAATAATAATAACAATAATAATAATAATAATAATAATAATAATAATAATAATAATAATTTCATTTATGTTGCGGTGGTCATGTCAAAAACTGAAAGACTGATGATGAATTGACAGTACATGGTTATTTTGCTGTAGAAGGTTTATAAAAAAAAATAACTTAACTACAATCTAAGAGAGTTTGTGATGTGAGTGCAGTTGATTACAACAAAACAACCAAATACTAACAAATTATTTTTACCACATACTTAAATTGGGGGAAAAAAAGATTATTAATGCACACAGGATGAACTCGAGGGAACTGTGACATGTTTTAAATTCCCGACTGCAACGGCATAATTTAATAGATTTTCTTTTAAGTTTGAGTTATTTTGATAAGTGTGATTGTGATTTTATGCACTTTTTTTATTTTTGTAACTTTTATTTCATTTTTTGTCTTTTTTCCGCTTACTTATTTAACTTTTTTTTTTTTTTGTGGGGAGTTAGGTGTTAATTAGTTAACAACTAGATTAAACAATTAGATTAAATGTTGTGTTGTAGGTCTGAAATCTTTTTTTTTAACATATCTTAATGTTCCTTTGTTCATGCATAGCTACCCAATTAACACCCCTACAATCACCAACAATCCATCTCCATAAAACTTTTTACTTTTTATTTAAAAATGGCATTTAATTACTTTTCTTACAGTAACATTTGCTTATAAGTTTTATTTACTGCTGAGAATACAGACCTTACCTATATTTTTATTATTAAATTACTTTTATTGTGGACTGAAGTAATTGACTGCCATGTTTTGTTCTATTCTTGGGAATGGTTATAGGGTTTGTAAATGGATATATTTGAAAATTAATAAAAAATATTTAAATTAAATTATTATTATAATATTAATATATGTATTAAATTGTAATCATTTTTTGATAGAGCAAGTGAAAATCTATTTGAACTGGGATATTTGAGAAAAAAATCCTAAGCATTTAGCCCTGAAGATGTCTAAAATTTCCTTCATAACTTCATTTAACTTGGTGAAACCTGCAGAAACCCAGATGGCTTCCCATTTTAGTTAACTTAGCTAAATTCAAATTAATAGCTGAATGGCTGATATAAAAGGAAATAAAAATTGATAAAGTGTTTTATTTTTATAACATTTTATTTCAGATTTTTTATATATGTTTTAGTTTATTTTTTTATTACGGAATATATCCAAACCGTAATCAAGAGATGTTGAAAAATAGACCATAGACCACCATCTTTTGTAATAAATAGATCTTAATATAATGGATATGAACCCCTTTATAATGTCAAGTCAATACAAAAGTTTTGAAACATCAATCAGGATTTGAAGGATTAATGACATATATTTTTAAACTGACCTTTCGTTGTACAACCCCATTGGTGTGCTGTCACTTTTGATCAATTTAATACCGACCCTGTCTTACCAACCTCAAATCTTTGAATGTCAGTGTATGTTTTACAAACAGTAGTCTATATTCTAATCTACATTCACTTCAATAGGTACACCTGTCCTACTGCTTGTTAATGCAAGTTTCTAATCAGCCAAACACATGGCAGCAAATCATTAAGACATGTAGACATGGTCATGGTGATCTACTGTAGTGCAAACTGAGCATCAAAATGGGGAAGAAAGGTGATTTAAGTGACTTTGATCGTGGCGTGGTTGTTGATGCCAGACAGGCTCGTCTGAGTATTTCAGAAACTGCTTATCTACTGGGATTTTCACACACAACCATCTCTAGGGTTTACAGAGAATAATCTAAAGAGAAAATATCGAGTGAGCTGCAGATATGTGGGCGCAAATGCATAGTTGATGCCAGAGGTCAGAAGAGAACGTCCAAACTGGTTTGAGTTGATAGAAAGGCAACAGTACCTCAAATAACCACTGGTTACAACCAAGGTCTGCAGAAGAGCATCTCTGAACACACAACAATGGTTACTACCTCCAGGATAATGCGCCATGTCATAAAGCGTGAATCATCTCAGACTGGTTTCTTGAACATAAAAAAAGTTTACTGTACTCAAATGGCCTCCACAGTCACCAGAGCTCAATCCAATAGAGCACCTTTGGGATGTGGTGAAATGGGAGATTCACATTATACAAATCTGCAGTAACTGCTTGACTCTATCGTGTTAATATGGACCCAAATCTCTAAGGAATATTTCCAGTACCTTGCTGAATCTATGCCACAAAGGATTAAGGCAGTTCTGAAGGAAAATGGGGGTCCAACCTGGCACTAGTAAGGTGTACCTAATGAAGTGGCCAGTGATTGTACAGTATATGCAAATCCAACCCATCTTTTTTTTTAAAGAAATTCACAAAATAAAGGTTAAGTCAAATTTATTTTATGTCTGGATATGTTTTTTTTTTTTTTTTAGGGTGATTTTGTTCCCAAAAGAAAGCTAGGTCAAACACACACACACACACACACACACACACACACACACACACACACACACACACACACACACACACACACACACACACACACACACACACTCTCTATTATAATATGAAACACACGGTGTTGACACAGACATGTTGATATAACTTGACACGATCACTACTGGATGGAGGTATGAAGTATTAAAGATGACAGCTGAGCATATTGTGTTATATAATTGGTCTCTGAGGATGATACATTCTGTTCTTGGCATCATTTATCCTTTCACTGCAAGAAAAGGTGGTAGCGTTGTATGCTTTATAAAAGAAAAGGTAATCTAAGGTAAAAATGAATCCCACAGGGGAAAATTCCATTTCAGACTGCTCAAATGAAACATGAGCCTTAAAGTAATAGTGCCTCAAATCGCACCTATCCTGTTATTGTGCTAATGTTATTTACACTTATATTGTTTTTGGACCACAAAAGCATAAATGTAATTTTTTTTTAAAATAAATGTCCATGGATAGTAATGTATAGGAAATGGTGTGGTGCAGTAATGATGTAAAAATGGTTAGCAAGTAAAAGAGGGCTCCCTCAAGACTTCTTTTTGAGTTTTACAATAGTATTTTCAATTTCAATGTGTCAAACATAGTTTGACTCTATATCAAAATGCTTTGTTACAATGCAGATTAGTCACACCCTATATATATATATATTTTTTTAAATAAGCAATGGTGGGAAGTAGGGCTTTAGAAAAATAATGCATTACAGTATCTAACTTATTTGTGCTGTAATTAATTTTCTGTTATAATAATATATGCATAAATTTGAATTTTGCATGCTAAAATGACTTAATTTAGATTTTGTTTTATGTCATTGTGCCTCCTCATTATTTTACTTTTTTTGTGTGTGTTGTGTGTGAGAGGGTTGTGGTTTCATAGTGTCAATCATTGCAATTAGTTCTTATTTCACATGACTTTTCATAGCTCAACACAAAGGATCTAGCTACAATGACACATTGTTTCTAGCTACAAATTTTATCCATAGACTGTAAAAGATATGGATGTAGTATTCGTGACGTCAACCACTGGTTTCTGAAGAACGCAAAAGATGCTACAAGTAGGTGTGGCCAATCGTTGCTATTTTGTTTGCACGTCATTGCATACCAAACAAGGGCAAAGAGGCGGAGTGTAATCAGTGCCTGTTTCAGAAAGCAGGTTAAGTGAAAACTCAGAGTATTTTAACCCTGAAATAAGAGAAACTCTGGGTTTTCTGTTTCAAAATGGCAGGTTTGTTAAACTCAAGAAATCAGGGTAAGTCAAACCTGTTTCTGAAAGAAAGGTAACTTTAACTCAGAGTCAGTTACCGTGGTAACTTACTCTGTGAATCTAACCTGGTCCGGAGCAGGTTTTTTTCTCTAAACTCAGAGTTTCTGTCGGTCTCCTCCCCTTTTTTTTAAAGATGAAGCGTATTTCTCGCATTAGCCTTACATTTCCACACACCTATTTTAGAGCTCATTTTGGAGATGCACATAAAAACGATTGATGGAAACGGCATGATTCACATAACTTTTAAAAATATGCATAATAAAACATGTGCATAACTGAGTAGGTTAAACTTTTATTTGATAAGAAAAGATTTGCATAAACTAAGTGCACTTAACAAATTACAGTATGTGCACTAAAAAAAGGTTTGTTAGAGAGGATGATGAAAATGTGTGTGAATGGACAAACCAGCAGACTGAGCACACTGCAGAACATCTTAAATGTTGTTTTAATCATTCTAAAATCTTTTAACTGTTTCAGTATTAGTGTATATTATTAATTATCTTTGAGCATCAGGAGCGTGTCAAGAGTCTCCGCGTCTGGCTTCAAACGCCCCCACGTGTTCATTGCGTGTCAGCATTGTTTTCTTTCTCTGAGGCGCAAGTACATTTATTAAATAAAGAATTAATTGACGCAGCTTATTCTACCGCAGTAAATTCTGTTTTTACTGTTGATATTTGGCGCAAGTTAATCAGGAAGTGACGATTGTGTTCTCTTTGACTTATTGGATAAAAACGCTGCTTTATTTGCATCTTATATGCAATATTCCAGTTTTGCACAAGTTTATGTAATATATTTGGATGGAAACTTAGATATTTCCTACATTTTTGTCACACACAGAACAAAGTCACGTACGAGGCTTGTCCTTTTTCATAAATAATTAGCTTAACCTTTGACAAGTACTGTAACTAGAT